AATGCTGAGTCTATCAAAGATCAATTAAATCAACATGGATCCCAAGCATCTGTAATTCCCCCAGTGAATTCTGACTTACAATAAGTGTTGCGAAGCACTGCGTTAGAGAATGCCACCTCACTTTTCAAAAAAGTGAGAATCAATATTACATTTGAACCTAGGAAAGAGAGGTGACTGGTTCTGAGCATTTGATTATACTACTTGATCTCAGCTTTTTACAAGGGAAGAATGGATGGCTTGGCCTCAATTATTTCTTCATTTAGCTTCAAAGATGTGAAAATGATATGACCTGCTCTTGTACTTTGAACTATACCTTGAGCTGTGCATATGCTTCACTCCTCAAGTCTGGTACGGTGTGACCATCCTGTAGATCTTTGTGTATCTCTGGTGGAGGACCTGGGGCAAAGGGTGATGTCAGTAAGTCATTTTACAGGTTAAGCACAAGGAAGTCTAGAGCACAGAGCAACAGGTGGGCTGGCAGGAAGTCATTTATTTGGTGATGTTAGAGGAAGGTTTTTTCTCGTTCACATTTATTGGCAATGTATTTGATTGGAAAAACAAGTTATAGAAAAAATGTCATATGTATGGCAAAAGGGGAAAGGAAATACATACGTTAATACACACAAATAATAAATGTGCAGCAATTTTAAAGAGGACATGATTTCTGCCTCCATTCACTTTCCACCATTTCTGCATCTATGCTCCTTCATGCACTTTGAAAGCATTTTTCTTTTCAATATTTGCATATATTAGTCATAGTTGGAGGTTTTCATGTCAGTGTTTCCTACTAGGTTGTGAATTCTTTGAGGATGGGGACCGTGTCTTGGTCATGTTTTGGTATTTCTCATTGCCATAGTCCCTGGTACAGCAACCATGCTACATAGTTATTTTCTGAGTGACTGAATATCCTGAAAATCAGTATTGTATAGGACTGATATGTGTGTCCTGTGCATTCCCATCAGTTGTTCAGTTTGTCTTTTTATTTTCACCATCCTGGGTCTCAGTAAATAGGTACCTTAAAATTGCCTACCTCCATTTTCAGGCCAAATTTCTTGGCAGCTACACACTTTCTGTGTTTCCAAATTTGATTCCCAGACAATACCAAAGTGGCTTAATAGGGAAATAAGATGAGAAGGATTCCAACAACATTCAGCTAGAGTATCCCATTCTATTAACAGACAGGATGGGATTTAATTTTTAGGAACTCTTAGTTATATATTAAAAAGATATTATGTTTATAACATTATATTATTATATACTACAATATACACAAACATAGGAGTGTGTATGTGTGTGTGTGTGTGTGTATGTGTAGATAAAACGATTCTTTTCTCACCTCATGATTAAAAGATGAGCTACATGTAGGTAAGAAGTCAAGGGACATGGACTCTAAACACAACGTTGGTTTAACTTAGTGATTTGTGACAGTCTCTACTATTTACTAAGTTTTAAGATGATGGGGTTCCACTAGCTGATCTCTCAGTGAACTATTTTTTTAAAATATTTATTTTTTAGTTGTAGTTGGACACAATACCTTTATTTTATTTATTTATTTATTTATTTATTTTTATGCAGTGCTAAGGATTAAACCCAGGGGCTCACACACACTAGGTGAGCGCTCTACCGCTGAGCCACAACCCCAGCCTCATTAGGTGAACTATTACTGCTCTATAATTCTATAGACTCAATTACCATCTATTACAGTGAATTTTCTAATAAGGCACGTGCTTCTTTTATCTGCTCTCAAAGCAATGCAAAAAACCCAGAAAGGAGGACTCTAAATATTCTAGAAAAAGAACTTGAGCAGCAGACTTTAGTTCTGGTTTTAATGACATCAACCAGCCATATGCTGTGTGCAAACCCTTCTGATCTCTGGGCCACACTTTCTCCTTTGGGAAAGTGTAGAAAATGGCCCACATGTTATCATAGTCCTTTGTGAGCTTGGTCCAGGATCCAGAAATCTGGGTACACAGGCAAATATGCAAAGGTAATCTGATCACAGAAAATGTTTGATTTGACCTTGTATTTTGTGCCTTGATTTCTGCTTTTATCATCATTTTATATGTCTGGAGGATTTTTTTTTCCCACTAATAATAATGCTTCAAAATACAAGAAGGCACAAAGAAGACTTAATGAAATGTTGGCTCCTAAAGAGATCTTTCAGTGATGAGCAACATGAGAAAAAGTTAATGGCCAATCAGAACAATCTTCTGATAAAAAGAAGTTAGAGCACTTGGGGTAGAAGGGAGTGAACTACCTGTGCAGAATACTATTGAACCCTGATCAGGCTTGGAGCTGGGGGTTCCATCCACACAACCTCCTTTGGTCCACTTCACATAGTAATCCAGCGACAAGAGAGAAGTTCTGTGCCAGAATTTAAACCAGCAACCAAGGAACTGATGAAGCTGGTGAGTGGAAGTCCCCCAACTCACCTCCAAATTTTTCCTCAGTCCAATGATTCCAAACTCTCACATAAAACATGGTACTCAGGAGTCCTCTCAAACCCCAAATTTGATCCCAAGGTCATTAAGTATACCATTTGCAGACCTTTCTGAATCCCTATCTGTCCTATATTGTTTTACACTGTAGACATGTCCCAGAAGGGTTCCGTTGTCGGTTGCCCTGAAAAGCCCCCTCTTGCATCTCAAATACAAACGCCCAAAGAGATTAAAAATATCCTTTTTTATGAGAACTGGAAACATTCTGTCTCATTCATTCCCACCACCCAGTATAGGGAACTGTATGTCAATGTGCATTTGTCACCTCTCCGTGTCTTCCCCTCATCTAGTGTCCAGTTCTCCTGAATAAACAAGAAAATGCACATGAGCATTTGAATGCAGACAAATAGCTTAACAAAAAAAATAAATCCCTGAAAGTGAAATGTAATTACTAGGTTAGAAAAAAATGCACACAGTTCGGAGAGCCTATCACACGTCGCGTCTCGGCGCGCAGCTACCCCCCAACACTGCTCCTGTTGTGTCAGATAGTGGCAGTGTTGAGCCCGGGAACCGGCGCCCAGCCCGCGGCGGTCCCCGCGGCCGCTCAGTCTCGGCGGCCGACTCCAGCTTGTAGGAGCCACCCGGCCGCGAGGGCGCTGGGGAGCGGGAGGGGCGCGGGGCGGCGAAGGGTCCCCGATCGGCTTCCACCAACTGTTTTCCTTCTCCCCTGGCAAGAGCCCCACTCCCTCCAATTCACCGAAATTCACCGAAGAGAGGGGAGGTGGAGGGATAGGTATCTCGCTGCTTCCTACCGGCTGCGCCTCCCTCCGCTCCCGCCCGGGGAGCCGCTCCGGCCCGCTGGGCGAGCAGTGTGGGCACCCGCGCCCCCTCCGAGCAGGTCGCGGGGTGGCGGTCCCCGCTCGGCTCGGCCGCGCTGCCGCTCCAATCCTCCCCCCTCCCCCGCCCGCACCCTCCCCCTTCCTTTCACTAGGACTCCGGGACTCGGGAGAGGGCGCGGGAGGCAGGCACACGGGCCCGACCCCACTCCAGCGCTCGCCGGGGACGCGGGCGGGCGGGCGGCGAGGGGACGCGGCGGGGGCGCGGGGCGGGCGCGGCCATGGAGCGGCGGCGGCGGCGGCAGCACTAGCGACCGCGGGCGGACGAGCGGCGGGCAGGGCCGCCCGGCGCCGCGGACCTAACTGCACAGCTCAGCAAAAGCGCCCTCGCCCTCCGCGCGCCGCCTCCTGCGAGCCCAAGCCCGGCAACATTTTTTAAAGCTCCAATCCATCCTTTGAAGAGAAGAAAAA